CAGTTTAAATGACCTTTTGGTTCAAAAAGTTTTGTTTATGACTGAAATCTTCCAGAATCTAAGTGAAAGTATTTTCTTTCAAAGGAAATTATATTTTGATTTGCAGTAAACTAGCAAGTAAGGTCAAGATTAAAATGCATTTGGTTGGCAAGATGTGTGTTTGCTTTTCTGATTGCAAAGGGTAGAAGTTACGAAAGTATTATTAACATGTTTGTGTCACAAAATTCAGATTTCTTGCAACCTACAAATATGATGTAATTTGGGTTTTGAGCTCAGGGCATTGGTCTATGAAGCAAATTCATATAGTTCAAAAGGACTAGCCCTGAGCATCAGGTTGGATTTATTCCAAATTTTAGTATTCCAAAGATATACAAAGCAAGTGATAAACCCCTTACCTGAGACACAGATCTCCCTGATCCAGCCACCAAAAAGGCCTTTCTGGGGGCCAGACCCTCCCCTTATATAGAGGGCATGACATCAGTCTGGTATGGAATACCCCATTGGCTGGTGGGGTTGTTTATCCTGGCTGTGGTCCCACCCAGCTGCAGCCTTCCCCATCTGCAGATGCTTGGGACCATTAACCCCATCCTGACACAACCCAGGACAATTAGGTACCAAGGGTTTTCAGTCCTGGATTCATTTCAGTTCAGAAATTTCCCTCCACAGGAGGTCTGAGTGGGGAAGGGAAACAATGATCTCTGTAACATTTGCTTTGGAAACACTTCTCCAATCTGAACAAAAGATGTAGTGGGGCCTGTATGAATTTTGGGGTGTTTGTGGCATGCAAGTGTTCATTTCTTTCTCTTCTTTGGGAATGCTGTGGATGGGAATAACTGAAAACAATAAAGGAGTGAATCTATAAAGGAAAAAAAAAAAAGACAAATCAGGCAAAATAAAAGTCCCATCTATGACACTGGGTTCAACAGGAACAGCTAAAACCCTGTGTTCAGAAAATTTTCTCCCTCTAAGTTTGCCTACACTGCTTTGGGAATGTGCCATTGGAACATGGCTAGATATATCCCTTGGTTTGGTTCACTTCAGGGCCCAATGAAGAAGACCCAGCTTGACTCTGGAGTGAGGTAGCTGCCCAAGCAGGTATCTGGAGTTCTTCCATTGCTTATTCCTTGCCATTGTGTAGCAGCTAGTTCAATTAGCACTGGGCTGGATGTATTTATTCACGCTGAAATTTCCTCTCTGAGCACCATGCATAGGTCCAGCCTGGTTTTCAGATAAAATGACAGTGGTGCCCGCAAATAATTAGACCTGCATGCTGTATTTTCTTTATGCCATCGGAATAAAATGCATATAAATCCTCAGGATTGGGTATTTTTAAGAAGGAATCAGGTTAAGAAAAAGCTCTGTGATCCCAGGGTCCTTTTCACAGTAGGCTCCAAAAAATATACCTCATTATAAAATGCACCTTCCCAAGGAATCACAAGACATGAGAAATCAAAAGAGAATTCCTAAAAGCAAAAGCTCTCCAGCAGAAAATCAATTTCAGCTACTTTCTCCTTGCCCCAGGGAAAGCAGCAGAGGCACTAAGCGTGGTGTGGGAAATGTCTCGTACATCTTCCTGGAACTGCACAAGGCAGACCTCCAGATGGGAGCTTGTCTTTCCAAGACAGCTCTGCTCTAATTAGGGACCTCTGCAAAATTGGTATGTTGCAGTTCCAAACAGCGTCTGGGTGATTCCCATATCAAATTTCTTCAGTTAAAAAAAAAATAAAAAAATAAATTGTCTTTGTCCTTGTTCAAATTGACAGCCTTACAAATGCAGGTGGACGGAGGGATGAAGGTCAAACTGAGTTTATTGTGCTTAACAGGGCAAGGAACAAAAATGAGCAGAAAGTTATACTCAAAAAAAATGTTTTTTGGTGGTTGTTTTTCTCTTGGCCATAATGTTGTCTTTTCAAGGGCCTTTGTGTATTTTTGAGAGGAGATTCAGAGTGAAAAGAAAGCAATTGCCTTTAAATATAACTATTATATGAAGCGCTTTCCTGTAACACTCAATTTACTCATGTGCCAGACAGAATCTGGTTTATGAACTCAACAATCTATGTTAGGTGGACATCATTTTCTATGTAGGAAGTACATCCTTCTCCTCAGCTGACTTTTTCCAGAGGCAGTCTGCCAGTTTAAACCTGTGGCTGGTTCCTGTAGTTCTCAGCATTCAGACTTTCCTGGGTAATGTGGTATCCCTAAGGCTGGTCAACATGTTCTAAAAAAAAACCACATTCCCCCTTGGAAATGCAGTCTGGCTGACATTTCTCACCAAATATTGTGATTCATATCATCTGTGCCTTCCAGTGAGAAAGCAAAACTGTTTCTTTTTGGGGTCATCATAAATCTCTGTGTCTTGAAGTTATTCCCCTGCTTCCCATCTCTCATTTCTATACTGTCCTTTGCTTCAGACAGTGTCTTCTACACTGACCTATGCTTCTGTGGTACAACCTGGGACAGCTCTGGCAGCTCAGCCTCAAAGAGCAAAGGAGTCTAGATCTCCCTGGGAGATGCAGCTTCTGGGGTAGCATCTAGCTGGACAAATAGAGCATTTAAAAAAAAAAAAAAAAAACCAATAAAAAATGTTCCAATCCTTTTTTTTTTTTTAATTTAATTTTTAATTATTTTAGAATCTTATGTGGGAAATTTCAGATCTTCAACTTTTCATTCCCCTGTGGGAGCAAAGCAACTGTTTAAGTGAATTTTGCATGAGATGGGCATTTTTGATTCTGGTCTGCTCTAAAACCCAATTTCAGGTTATCACAGGCTAAAAAGAAAAAATCACTTTGGGCTTCACTTCACACTGCTGTTGGTCAGTGCTGTTTCTAGGTGGGCTGAGACTCTCTGCAGCTGTTTCTCAGCTCAGCCCAGTTGAAGTCACTGTGACCTGCAGCACTGTGGTGGTTTCCAACAGACAGAGCTGTGTCCCTAAACAAATATTCCAGGAGCAATGGAAAAACAGGAGTCTTTAGTGTGAATCAACACCACAACAGAGCATGTGCCATCCTTAAAAAGCTCATTTCAAGTTTTTTGGGTTTAAAAAGGGATCACCTTTATACTGCTTATCCTCCTGAGTGCTGCCCTGACTGCCCACTACTCTTGTACAGAACATCCAGCAATGAAATTTGTAATGATTTCAGGTCAGCTAATGTGTCTGAGGTGTAAGTGGCTTATACTACTGGATAAGAAAAGAAAAAGGTGTCACTTAATGCCTGTGGCTGCTAACAAAAATTACCTGAGTGTAGGTTAAGGTGACTGTCAGAGCAAACTGTGGCCAGTGCTGAAGAGTGTAGAAAGGAGGTGGTGGGACGCCCACATAGTGCTAAATCTGGGGAAAAAAAATGACCTTGAAGCACTGCAGATTATAGACTGCACTATACCAAGCACTTGTAAAGGGGATTTTCCATTTCATCTCACAAATCCACCCCATATCCTCACCATCTGGGCTCAGTCTCTGATGCTTCAGAGCAAGGTGAGAGAAAGCCCCAGGATGCCCCATGTTAATTGTGTGGGAATGAACCTGCATGAGTCCCAGAGCCAAAGCTCTGGAGGAAGAGACCAGATTATGCTCTCTCTTAATGGGCTGAGCTGGAGGGGTTAGGGGCACAGGCAAGGATGAGGATGGCTTCATCAGAATCTCCCTGCATGAGGGAGAAACAGGCACCTCTTGTCTCACTGGAAGGGTATGGGAGCAAAGGAGTCCAGAACTTGTCCCTTAGAGATACAGCTTGTGGGACAAATAGAGAAGATAGATAGATAGATAGATAGATAGATAGATAGATAGACAGACAGACAGATAGATAGACAGACAGATAGATAAAAGGAAATACGGAATATTCTAATATTGTGCTTTTTTTTTTTTTACAATATTCTGTGAAAAAATTCAGGTCTTCAAATTTTCATTCCCATGTAGTAGGAAAGCAACTTGAATATATGAATTTTTCATTAGGTAGGCAGAGCACTGGGTGAGCATGAGATTTAAGATTTGATAGATCCTGGAGCAGGCTGCCCAGGGAGGTTGAGAGGTCTCCTTGTCTGGAGAGATTCCAAACCCACCTGGATGTGATCCTGGGCACCCTGCTCTGCATGACCGTGCAGGGAGGTTGGACGAAATGACCTCCAGAGGTCCCTTCCAAGCCCTACGGCCTGGAAGATATTCTCTGTGATCCTCTTTGCACACAGGAGCAGCATTCATCCCACTATTTATGCAACGAAAACAACCCCCCCAGGTGCTCCCCTGCCTGCCTGCCATTTGTTAAACCAGAGCGTAGGTGCAAAATGCCCGTCCCGATGCACAGCAGCCTCTCAAGACACACCAGCAACCTCCTCTTTTCTGATGCGTGGGTGTTGGCTGAGCAGAGCAGGACAGTGCTGCAAACACCTCCCCGCTGGGACGCTACCTGCATGCTAATGCCGGGGGGTTGTGCAGAGGCAGCGCCGGGCTCGGGCAGTTTCCATGGTGCCGTCATGGTGCGCTCGCCTTCCACCTTCCCCTCGCAGCATTTCCCACCCATCCTCCTCCCCGCCCCACGCTGCTCGCTCACCCCGAAAGGTCAACCATTGTAATGAGGATTTGAGCGGGGAGGCCGAAGGGTGAAAAGGTGAGGATGTGCGTGGGAACCGGGGGGCTTGCCTGACGTCGCACAATGAGAATTTAGAAAGCTTCCCCTGGAGGGAGCGGTGCTGGCCGCCCCCCTCGCTCCCCAGCCCGGCCAATGTCCTGATGGAGTTAAAGAATGTTCCGGCGGAGCGGCTGCAGAGCCTGCTTTAAACCCTTGGCAACTGATGCGCTAGTGCCTGGCGGGGAGAAGGGACCGTGCTAGCAGGGGGAGCTGATGCAGCTTCTCTTTTTCCTCCCCCCACCCTGCCCCCTCCCAGCAAGCCCAGCTCTTGTCTGCAGACGGATAGAGGCAGGTTTCCCCCTCTGACTTTCATCCTACTGACTGCCGGGCTAACGTGCTGCACCCATTAACCGCCCGCCCTTCTCTCTCTTTCTGTAGGACAGCTTTCCTGCCCGTTTTGGAGGAGTCCATTTTGTCAACCAGCCCTGGTACATCCATGCCCTGTACACGCTAATCAAACCGTTCCTCAAAGACAAGACAAGGAAAAGGGTAATTAGATGGGGCCGGCGGGGATGGGAAGCTGTGGAGCCGGAGCAGCTGAGTAGCTGCCTGCTTTCCTTTCTTCCTTCTTTTTCTCTCTGCATTTTTCATATGGCCTTAGAGAATTGCTGCTCTTATTACAGCTTAGAACTTGCGTTGGTCTGGCTTGAATCAATAACAGCCAGAGACCAGCTTCAGCATCAGCAAGTTGACTATTTTCACATGGTGGTAACTCGTTTCCACAAAAAATGCCCATGCCTGAAGGCTGCTCGCTCACACTGCCAAAGAGGCAGGTCTTCCCCACTGAAGCTCATATGAATTGTGGTCCTGAGGTTGTTTTAGCTATTTGCCCCTCTCAGATTATCAAATGGCCACTGGATCATCCCTCAGGAAGCCCCAGAGCCCACCTTGGGGTGTATCTGACCAGGCAGGTGTGTCTGACCAGGTAGAACCAGTATGAAAGCAAAAAAGGATTAGAGAGACAAACGTGGCTGAAGCAGAGCAAAACAGTGACCCAGTCAGGTACACCCCTGGGAAACATCAGCCCTGGGGTGTAGGGCTAGGCTGCCCTCTCAGATGTTGAGGACCTACTCTTCATGTCTTTCAGTAAATTCCACTCTCTCCCTTTCCTTCTCACTGCTCTTCATACAAGCCTCTGTCCTCCTACAGTAGCAATAATCAGTTGTTATTCCTGAACTCTACTTCCCCTGATCTGGTCATTAAGAAAGTGAAAGCATCATGTGCCAAAAGGAAGCAAATCAGGGTTTTCAGAAGTTTTTATAGTGCCAGTCTAACTTCTCAGCTGCACAGCCCAAAGCTAATCCTTCCTCTCCTGCCCACCCAGCCAACACTTCAGGAATTCCCACCTCAAACTGCAGCGTCAACGACCGATGCTCCACACCTCATTAAGCACTGTTGCTATTGTCTTAATGAAGTAACGAATCGATGATGACTTTGAGCTTTCCTTTTATTTTTTAAAGATCTTTCTTCACGGCAACAACCTGAACAGCCTTCACCAGCTAATACACCCCGAATGCCTGCCCTCTGAATTCGGGGGGACTCTTCCTCCATACGACATGGGGACGTGGGCTCGAACATTGCTGGGTCCTGACTACAGTGATGAAAACGAGTACACCCACACCTCCTACAACGCCATGCACGTGAAGCACGCGTCCTCCAACCTGGAGCGGGAGGCCTCACCCAAACCCATGAAAAGGTCAGTGCTGCCTTTGAAATCATCTCTTGTTTGGTTCTCTGAACCACTTTGGCATAAATCCAGCAGGAAAGGCTCGGGAAAAAAGCTGTAATTTGGCAACTATTGACAGCAAGGAGCACCTCACCCTGGACCGTGCTCATGGTGTGGTGGGAGAAAGGAAACCTCTCTGTGGAACTATAATTATTCATCTGATTATTGTGTGTGAAAATGAGGGGAAATTAATGAGCCCCTGCACAGGGCATTGCAGAAAGTCTATTGGAGTAAGAAGCTCTTCTGCACGGCATGCTGCAGCCAGCACCCTTTCAGTCCTGGTCCCAATGACCTGCTGCTGCTTTGCCACCAGTGACCTCGGTTGTTAATGATAAGGGTTTTACCTCCTTGGGAATGCAGCTTTTGTAGGATGAACAGCACTGCCCTCTAAAGGGAAAAGGGGTTAGTCTCCTCCTGCTGCCTCTGCTCCCGTTTTCTCCATCCAGCCCTGCTAAGGCGGCAGAGCTGCTCTTTGAAGATCTCCAGTTTTAGATCTAGTCATTGTGCATTCAGCTCTGAATGCTTAAAATGACACCCTTCGAGAGTAAAGAATCCTAGAATCGTTTAGGTTGGAAGAGACCTTTAAGATCACCGAGTCCAACCATTACCCCAGCACTGCCAGGTTCCCACTAACCTGTGTCCCTCAGCACCACATCTACACGGCTTTGAAATCCCTCCAGGGATGGGGACTGCACCACTGCTCTGGGAAGCCTGGGCCAGGGGTCAACAACCCTTTTGTTGCAGCAATTTTTTCCTCATGTCCAACCTAAACTGCTCCTGCTGCAACTTGGGGCCATTTCCTCAAATTTTTCCTTCCCTGTAGAAGAGGCTGACCACCACCTTGGACCAATCTCCTCTCAGGTCATTGCCAAGAGTGACACTGTGGGTATCACTGCCAGTAATTCGTGCTGGCTATGGGGATGAGTGTGGAGGGTTGGATACCTGGCACAGGTTTGCAGGGGGTAAGGGTGTCAGGTGATGAAGGAACCAACAGCATCTTGCAGCGGGTGGGGTTTGGGCCATGGTGGGGCCGATTCCATCTGCTCTGACCCCACACTCCACACCACAGTCCTCAAAACTGCTTCCCATGCAGATCCCAGCGCTGCTTTCACTCGCTGCTGCCACTTGATGAGTGCAGCGCTCACAGGCACGGCGTCGCTCCCCGTGACAGGCAGCGGCCATCACTCTGTCACAGCAAAATCAAAGCTGACAACACAGACAA